ACCAGACTGGCAGATGAACCAGCCCCCGTCACCAAGTGCCTGCAGTTGTACAATGATGAGCTGCTCAAGGAGAGAGGAAAGGTTCATCTGCTACCCTTGAGAGCCTCTCACCTGCCTGGAAAACATTTTCCACCACATTGATGCCTCAAATCTATGATCCCCAGATAAAAAGACTCTGATACTTCCATCTGCATCTTCCTTCCCTTTGACCTGTTCAAGCACATCTTGTCAATGGTGCGATACTTCGGGGGGAGTCAGCGATGGAGAATTACCTTCTCAGTCCCTACAGGCAATCAGCTCACTCCCTGAACCATGAGATATGATTGCCCTTATTATTTTAGATTGCATAGCAGTGAGTCTTGTTAATGGTCATAAAATTATCCAGTCCTTATTTAAAATCCAACAACCGTCTGTGTTTCAATGACCTCTTGATGGTCTCTGGCTTAGTTCCAGGTTAAAGAGGCATCAGAAGTGACCATGGATGGAGAAAAAAAGGCAGTGGGAAGATTTATAGGGAGAAAAAAAAAAAAAAAAAAAAAAAAAAAAAAAAGAAACAAAGAGAATTCGAAGTAAAACGGGGAATATTAAAGAGAGCTCAATCAGTCAGCTGGAGAGTTCAAAAAAACACAACCTGTCAAGAAGAGAAGGAAGCAGCATCAGGTAAAATTAGCAACACTAATAACTCATCAGTGCTGGCGCCCAGGCCAGGAAACAGCACAGGTAAGAAGAGGAGCCTGGTAGACGCTTGATGCCATTGAGAGGAAGCAGGAGAGAGAACTGACACAGCCTGAAGGAACTGAGAGTCTTGCTTAAATGATGGCTTAGGTAGGAACCAAAGACACAGGCTACTCCTAGGGTCTCCAGCTTTCAAGAACTGGTTTTGTGCTCCTTGCAGCCTTCTTTTTAGTTGTATTTACCCCTCAGGAAGAGATTTCCTAACATTCACCTTTCTCCTCAGTGCCAGCAAGGGGAGAGAGGGATGGTGGTGGCCTCCAAGCCTTTGTTGACCCAGAACCGCCTCATCTCACACACCCGCTGCCTTCCCCTCCTGCTCCTCCTCACTTGAGCCACCATCCTCAAGACTAGGACAAGCCTGGGCTTCTGTTTTGTCCCTCGTATTTGCTTTGTGGGGAAAAAGACACACACATGTGAGCCTGGTCCAGCCTGCGGACCAGGTCTCCAAGGTCTCCAGCCTTGGAAAGGCAGCCACCACAGTGGAAGAAGAGTGGGAGCAGCCCGCGGGCTGGCACCGTCCCATTCCGCAAAGGGTTCAGCCACTGACTTCTGAACAGAACATTTCTGAAGCAAAACCCCTTATTTCTTTTAGTTATCAGACTTTCTAAAAGAAGGCCACTCCACTGTCCTTTCAAATAACATCTAAGAGCCCCCAGAGTACCAAGAAGGATACCCCTGCAAAGAGAAACAACAGATGGAAAAAACCCAAGAAGCAAAAAACTGTTTTCATGTAACCAAGTTCAAACACAGATTCCCATCAATTTTGCAGCAAACCTGAGTCATGAAATTAAAAGTAGCATCAGCACATTTCCTATTAGCTAGGGTTCCTTTTTCAGAACAGATCATACATTCCTACCCTATTTTTCTAGACACTTGTGTCAATGCGATATCATCAGATGCCGTTCAGTCGCTCCTCTTAGCCTGAAAAAGCTTTCCTGTTGGGAAGGATGGGATTTTAATATTTAAAAAAGATTCTGAGAAAAAGCTTTGCTGATATTTTGTTTTTAATATCCCTCCCCTGATCAGAGTGGGTGCGTTTTGTAGCTTTTAAATATCATGCAACTTTTAGAACCGTTGCTGTTCAATGGGAACCTGCTGTCACAGCAGGCAGCGCGGATGTGATTTACACCGCGCGCGTTCTGTCCTCCTCAGCGACTGTGCTGTGACAGGAACCCGTGGCCTTCGTGCCCATCACCCGGCATCAGACACCGTCACCACGCTCCCCATGTCTAGTAGCTGGAAGTCCTAACAGGGCCTAACCCATCGGTGCCGCGTTACTGCACCCAGCACCACTGCCAGCCCAGCATCATGTTGGTGATGACCTGGGAAGGCTTCGCTTCTCTCCCCCCAAGGTCTTTTTCAACATGTTCTCCTATTAGCCCAAATTGCAGGATTTTTGGCCATCTCTCAGCCATCTGATGGGGTTGGGAAGCGCCATCGCTGCTCCATGTCCCGGTGGCAGGTTGGCAGGTTGGATGTGGGCATGGGAAACACTGGGAACTCAACAGTAATCACCAGGGCACCCAACGGCACCAGCGCAGGCCTCCTCTGATCCACCCGCCTGGCTGTGGGGCACAGGGGGCTCTGCAGGGGTAACAGCACGGACCTCGGGACCCATGGGCGCACTTACTCAGATACCTCACTCAGGAGGTATCTGGCCATGCCTCCTTGGGAAGAGGTCGGGACACAATTTTGGGAGAAGGCGACATGCCCGCCTGGCTGCATCTGTGCTGCATGGATCCTGCTGCATGGATCCTGGGAAGCCTTGTGAGGGCTGCGATCACTGATCTGACCAGCAGAGCAGCTTCCTGCCTTCAGAGAGGCTGTCTGCACCGCACCGCACGGCCCTGCTGCAGCTGGAGACAGGCAGGAAAAACGGAGGTTTGCCCAGTCCCGAGGTGGGACAAGCCTGGACCCAGGCTGCTGGCCAATATCCAGCAAGGATGTCAGCTGGGAAAAGCTTCCCTTTCCTTCTCGCACCCTGTTTCTTCCTTCCCCTGCAGTCCCCAAGCCTGCTCCTCACTCCTACCTGTGCCTCAGCTTCACACTCCTGCCCTTTCCCCACAGCATTACCTGAAGGAGCAACATGACCAACACCTACCGAGCCATGCCCTAAGCTTTTCCACACATCATTCCATAAGGGCTTCTTAGTCCTTCTTCAAATCCAGGCTTACTTCCAGGACAACTCCTTGGGGCTCATACATGGGAAAAGCATCAATGCCAAAGGAGCCAGGGACTGAAACAGGAGCAAAAAGCTCCAAGTTCATAGCTGCAAACTCTGGGAAGAAGCACAAACCTTGGAAGTGCCTACCTTACCCAAGAGCTCTGTTGCTTTCAAGGACCATATGGCAGCTCTTGACAACTCTTTGCCCCTGTTAGATATTTATATACGCACATAGATGAAAAGGGTTGAGCAGCGGAGAAGCAGGGACGCAGGAGCAGTCGGAGTGAAGGGAAGCTTCAGGCAACACTGCAAACAAGACAGTGCTCCAGCATGCACAGTCCCCCAGCCGTGCATTAATAAATCATATTTTACAGCTTATAGCACATAAACCCAGCAAGCATCGGCACACTTGTTAACACTCTTGCCTCTCCCCTCCAACCAACTGCAAATTTATTACCAATCTCCTAAGAGTTTCCAAAACGATTTTTTTGCAAACAGGGCTGGAGCTTTGCAAGTGGCAAACTGAAGACAGATGGGACTCGTACCCCCAGCACCTGGAGTGTTTGAAAACTGCTGTAGCAGCCGTGGCAAGCGGTGTTGCTGTTTGTGGTGCCCCACAGGGGCTGGTGCTGGTCCTCTGCGCTGGGGGAGTGCAAGGTGGGTGGTGAGCGTTGCAGCGAGGTGCTGCAAGGATCTGCTGAGCCCTGGCTGGCTCGGTGCACAACTACTCGGTTACTCCCTGCAACATTGAGCATCACAGTTATTCCTCACAACTCCCTCACGGGAGGGACGAGCATTATAGCAGACGGGAGCTGCTAGGGCAGCAAGGTTCAGCCACCTCTTTGGGGCTTTAAGCTGAAGTTGCCATCAGAGGCAGAATGGGAAATTTGGGGGTTGCAACTCCCCAGCGCCGTGTCTCCCCAGCAGTGCAGGCGGCTTCGAGACGGTCATGCTTTCCCACGAATGCTCCCAGGCTTTCCTGAGAGCATCTTCGAGCAGCCAAGCTCCCCGGCAGCCCTGGTCCAACGCAGTGCCCACGTCTGCTCGCTGTCCAACAGCAGCACTGTCACGCAAGGCAGGACAGCCAGCCTGGCAACTGCCCCGACCGCGTGGCAAGACCAGACTCTGCACCGCGCGGAGCCGCCACACCAGGCACTTCCAGAAAATGCCTCCTCCATGAGTGTTATCTTATTGCACTTTGTTGAACAAACCAGTTTTGCAGGAAGAACAGGGTGCAGCAGGGTAATTCATCTGTGTCTCTCCTCCACACCGAAGGAGTCTCGGAAGACTGGTACTTTTTCTGCACCAACCTATTATCCATTCACTGCTGGGAGGCAACTTTCCAGCGGGCAGAATGCTTTTTCCCTTGTCACTTCCCAGCATCGCTTCTCGCCTCACCCGTGGTTTGCTAAGATAGAGGGTTTATTGTAAACTTATTAATTACTTCATTTCTCCTGCGAGGAGCCAGGAGAAAAATTTCCAGCAGCAGCCAGGATCCGCTATTGTGTTGGCGGAGGAGTTGAGCGTGGCTGACGTCACGATTCATTTTCTCCATGACTGAGGAAGGCGACTCACGGTGCCATGTTGCGCATATGAATCAGGCAGCATTCCCCTGGCACAGCATGCCAGGCAATTCGTCTTCCACCAGGACTTCTTCAAGCAGAAGAGAAACTGCCAAACTTTGCTGCTGCTGCTACTGCAGAGAGAAGGGGCTGGGGAGATGGGCTCCCCAGAGCTCATGCTTGTCCCATCACTTCTCATCGGTTGCATCTATGGCAGCTGTTTTCCATGCCCATAGATACTGCTGCCTTCTCTGCAAGCCTCAAATAGCACGTTGGTGATACCGAGAGGAAAGCAATATACACCAAAGTTCATAAACTAATCATCTGGTTTATAGTATGAATGAGATACTCTTGGAAGAAACAAGGTGATGATGTCCTCCCTTCTCAAAGCACTACTAGCCTCAGACCACTCGTAGGGGATTTGCTACCACACTTCATACACAGGACAGCACAGAGGCAGCACTGTGTACATCCCAAATAAAGAAGTCATACACTCACGTTGGGAAGTGACACTTTATTCTTAGGATTAAAGAGGGATCTCCATTGCAACACAGAATGTCAGACTTCAAGGGGTGCTCCATCCTCAACAGACACTTTCAAGGGAAGGAGACATCCACAACAAGGTGGGTAGTTACCACAGCCTGATCACAAGCACCAGGCTAAAACCAGCAGTACAGCAAAGATCCCTCCCATCATCTGCAATCCTGAGACAACCAAGAGTCCATGAGTCTTGATAAGAAACAAAAAGCAGGTCAGTGACATCAGAGCACACCCCATGGCAGTGAGGAGACAGTAAAGGCAGAGGGTCTTCTAAAATCCATTTGTACTTATGCTTGGCTGCGGAGTCATGGCAGACCAGGGGCTGGCTTTCCAGGACGGAGACTCAGGTAATTAGATAACTTGAACATTATTTCAACCCTGCTCAATGATGAGCTACTAGCAAGAGCAGAAGGTATTTAAAACAAACCTGCTAATTCATGACTCTGATCCTTCACCAATATCCTGCCTCAGGGACCAAGCTCTTGGCTCCAGTTGGAGGGGACCATTCAGACCAGTCTTCCTCTACATCCATATCTGTCTGTTGGCTGAGGCCCCGATTTGGGAGATCCTCTTGGGAAAAGCTGTTAGCAGCAATGCTGTGGCTCCTCAAGACAGCAGTTCCCACCTACTTGGCAGAGAGGTGGAAAGACCGTTTGGGCAGTTTAAACATATCTTGCAGTTCATGTGTGAGGTCTGGCACAGGGGAACCCACAAGAGTTCAAAAGAGCAGGAGGAAGGAGGCTAGAAAAATCAGCATAGAAGAGGGGGAAAAAATAATAAAAAAAGAGAGTTCCCCAAAACACACAAACCACCCAAAACCACCCATTGCCATGGCTTAAGGGTGGGTGGGGGAAGTTTGTGAACACTGCAGCTGAGTCCCTCTCCTGTCCAGGGGTGCTCCTCACCTGGCTGGTGGGTGTTGGCAGGACTGGTATGAACTAAGTGATGGTTTGGCGGCTGAAGAGGTCGAGGGTGAGGGCGCTGAGGAAGGCTGGGATGCTGTCCTGGCGAAGCAGGTGGAGTTCGATGAGCTCCCGGATGGTTCGAGAGAACTCGGTTTCCAGAAGCTGCATTTTTCCACCAGAGGAGCTGGAAGCCTGAAGGGAAAGAAGAACAAGCCCATTAATACAGCAGGGTTTTATTTTGCCTCCCACAATGCAGAGGAGAGGGAGCGCTGAAGGCTCCTTCGGTGGGGATCTGCCTGTAATCAAGAAAATGTTATCTGCTGCGGAGCAGGTGTTCGTCACACCACTTAATTGGGCCATTATTGAATTCTGCATTTCCAAAACCTCGGCAGAGGACTCCTCCCTGCATAATAAGTGGTACAGCAGGGAAAAGAGCAGCTTGAGCATCTTGGAAGTGGCCTGTGCAAGGGCCAGGCTCCCACCACGCGTTGCGTGGACAGGGTGCCCACGTTGGGGTCTCCATCCTCCAGCAGTGCTTAGGTGGCCTGGCCTACACCAAGGAGCTTTCTTCCTATGACACTACGGAGCCCTTATCCTGGAAATCCTTCCTGTTCCTGAAGGAAGAAGTGGACACGTTCCCAACTGACACGAGTCCTTTTGAATGAGGCTGATTCACCCCACATCCCTGAAGTGTTTCGAGATGTCTGAATCAGCCTGGCAGTGCCTATCCAAGAGCTCCAGAGGAATTATTCCAGAGATGCTAACATGAAAATAAGGAAACTCAACATGTGGGAAGACATTACAAATCTCCTGTAACATATAAAACAAGCCAAAAAAAAAAATAAAAATAATAATAATAATAAAAAAAAGCTAAATGCAAGAAATGTAAGGAACGCTTGGAGCTTTTCTTGGCCCTGGAGGCACTAAGGCTGCTTGTTTATTAATAAACATCAAAAACATCACAGCGGAAATGCTAATGCTTTCCCCTGCCATCTTCCCCTTCAAAATGCTCCCGCTCCTAATTGCTCTGTACCCTGCTTCTCCCTGGAGCCCAGCTGGGAACCGGGAAGGCTCCAGCAGGAAGCTGAGCAGATTCCCAGCCTTCCCAGAGCCGACTATTTCTTTGGGAAAGGAAGACAGGGCTGTACCTGCTCGGAGGGAAGTGTTACTCACCAAGGGCCCCAGGGAACTTGCTTGCTTCTATTGCATGTTTCTAGGAACCTGGACACATCCGATTATGAACTTCTCGTGTACGTGTCACTTCTGATTGCAAAGAGTGCAAGGTACAGAGGATGTCCCTGTCACCTCTGAGCCAGGGAGAAAAATCCAAACAAGGTTTTAGAGAGGAAAAGTAAATTAACATTGGTTTTAGAGTCTCCTCTGCTTCAGCTTGGTTCTTTCAGCAACTCCAAAGGATATTTGGTGCCATAAACAGTTCTCTAGCAGAGCTAACCTGCCAGCTTTCTAAACATCCCATGTGTCACAGGCTCAGACTAAAGAGTCTAAGTAAGAAAAAGGAAGAAATGGCAGATCATTAGGAAAGCAGTTTGATGGCACAGCTAGGAGTGCTCATCTGCAGTCTATCCTAAAGGTTAGGCACAACGTGAAGATTAGCAGAGCTACGAATTCGTACGTGGGCTGGATGCTGTCAAAGAAACACAGGTTTTGTTTTGCAAATCCACCCTGGATTCAGCTGATGAGAAACATGAGTTTAGGATGAAGGTCCAAGTATTATGAATGCATCACTTGTGTCTCCAAAGTCAACGTTGAGCTGAACTCACCTGAAACAAGAATTCAATCTCTGTATGAAAGATACTGCCTCCTTCTTAGAATTAAAACACTCCTTGGGCACAAAACTAATTTTCTAAGAATTTCAGAAGTAAATCCATTAATTGCTTTACTAGTTTAATTAATTAAAGTAAGTTTCTTAAGAAATTTAGCATCTACTGCCAGACTGTTTACTTGGGTCTTATGATCTCAGAAACAGAACAACTTAAAATGTTTTAAACTTCCTGCCTAAGGTGAGCTTGCGGCTATCTTAGGTGAAGGTAACATTTGAATAATTTCTTTGTTTTGTGAGATTAATGGCCATTTCTCTTGCCTATTCATCTTAACTGTACTTACATCCTTCAGCAGAGGCAGAATAATTAAGATTGGTGAAGCTACATGAGGAAATATGGGCTTGTGAGAGAAGTTACCTCCCCTTGCATTCAGCAGGGGTTCTTTAGCTGTCTGACAAGCAAGAGGGGCAACACCTTCCCCTTGGGCTCCCCCTCACCAGGAACAGCCAGAGAGGGCATCCACAGAAAGCATCTCACCCGGGTGTCTCCTCCCTGAGCAGGCCAAGGAGAGCGAGCAATGCCTTCCCTGCCAAGAAACAGAGCTTAACGTTAACTCTGAGGATGGATGCCCTGGCAGTTCGGTTCACTCAATCTCACATTGCTTAAAAAAAAATTTAGAAACTTGCTTTTCTGAGAGTGTTTTAAAATTACTACCATTGTTACTGTTCTTACTGTTTGTTTTTATTGCTTTTTCTTTTTTACCCATCTGTTCATAACGCAGTATAGACAAGGATATGGATAGACAGACAGATTTATTGCTGTTGTCGAGTTCAACAGCAGAAGTACCTCTGCAGCCTGTGCTTTACAAATAAAGTGATTATAAGAGGAGCAATACAGTCCCATTAATCCGCGTGGCTTCTTTGCAGGAGCAAGTCTGCAGCGTGGCTGGGAGACTAGGTGAGGAACTGCGGGAGCTGGAGGGAGCAGGGACTGAGACAGGGACCAAATGTGACCCAAGCACATTTGGGTACAAAACACCCAGGTGAAGGACTCAAGTCAGCACCACTCAGACTCACAGGCGAGAGAAAGAGGGCAAGAAAGACAAGAGCATATTGAAAACCACTTCTGCCTACTCTGGGTCCAACACTGGCCCTTCAACAGTCACAAACGGAATGAGACCCCAGCTTTGGCTAAGCTCTGTTGCCAGCCCAGCCTGATTTAAGGCCTGTCGGGACCTTTCCTAGGAGAGCAATGGAAATCAATCTTTGCCTGGTGTTATCACCAGGTACCTGGTGTTATCTGTGTTATCACATCTGCTTGTGCTGCTGAGTGAATCCCACTATGGATTTCACGGGTGACACCCTGTTTTCTGCTCGCACACCGTGCTACCTTACAGAACAATCACATCAGCTAGCTCATTTCACTGTGTTGTGAACACGAGCAAGACAGCTCTGTTTACCATGTGGCAACATAAACCCGCAGCCTTTTCCTCCTAGATCGTGGCAGTGCAAGGAGCCTCTTGGAGCCAATTGCTTTTGCACAAGAATCAAGACCAGCTGCTGCCTGACAGGGGAAAACATCAAAAAAACATCCTTTTAGCTCAGGAAACTGGTAAATCATTCACAATTTTATAGATTTTATATATAGTATGCACTTATTTCTTTTTGACAGGCAAAGATTTACATAATAGCTGAAGTTGAATGTGTGCACGCAGTTTGTTGCCAGCCAAATACCTGGGAACTGGGGTGTCCCTGCCATTTTCTCTATTCTAAATATCCATCCATGCAGCAGATGAAGAGTGGGATGTAGAACTGATCAATTCTTACAGTTTCATGTACACCCTTTCCCTCTTCTGACATATTTTGGTATCTAGAAAAACAAAAAAAAACAACAAACAAACCAACCAGCAACAACCTCACTGTCTCCAAAAATGCCATCAGCTATAAAGTGGAATGAATTTAATGAACTAGAGGGAATTTAGTCAGCCTAAGCTTTTAAGATCCTTCTTTTAAGATGTTACTTGAGCACACGAACCAGTGTCTTGTAGACCTTCAGACTCTGGAAGAAGAGTGAGAAGAAAGCGCTTGGGTGCTCCAGAGAGAAGGCTGCCATTACCACAAAAACAGGGGGGAAAAACATGGAAAAAGTAAAGAGAGGGCTTCATCATTCAGTAGGATTTTGAGATTTCACCATTAAAGAGGGAATATTCCACCTCCCACAGAATTTTTGGTAAGGTGATAAAAGTGACAGTGGTGCTTTGCACCAGGCCAAGGGTCTCTTTGCAGCAGCAGGCACAACTCAGGAACCTCATTTCCAGCATCTTCTCACGGTGACGCAGGGTTAAGCTCGAGCCTTCGGCAGGGTTGCCGATGTGCCTTTCTACTCCTTGGTGCTCAGAAGCTTTTGCTTTGCAGATGAAGCTCGGTCATACTCTGTAGTAGATGATACTTTTCGAGGCTATGATGTATGAGGGGTCAAAACAAGCAAGTGAATCACTGCACGGTGACATTTACCCAGTGAAGGTATTGTGGAGGCTCCATGTTGTCTGCCGAGAGGCTCTGCTCTACTTATTCCATAAATCACTTCCTACGTGATGTCTGTACATACAACTGCTCTGAATACACTAGGGAAATAACCCTGTGTGTGCCGAGGGATGGGACATATGGCCGAGACCCCAGGACAATCTTCTCTCTGCTCCATCCAGCTCACTGGTCTCCTTAGGGGTTATGACTCTGCTGTGGTTGCACTCACCTCTCCATACTCCAGGTCTCTTCCTGATATTTCCATTGTCCTCATGGTGTTTCCAGGCCCTCCTCAAAGCCACCTCTGCTGCCTGCTAGGACCCTTTTTGCAATTTCCTTTCACCATCCAAGGCCCTTGGAGCTACTCTCCATAAGTGACGGTCACTCCCTCTTCCCCCAAACTTTTTCCCACTAGGAGAAGTCCTCAGGGTCTGCTACACCAAATCACCTCTCCAAAACTCTGCAGTGCAATCACCATGTGTGCCACAAAGCATCTCCCATCCAACAAGCTGGACACACACATGTACCTGATGGTCCCTGGCCTCCCTGATGCTTTCCCAACATGTTTACTGCACTTGCCTCACCACCCATTACTACGTGTAAATCCTGTCATAGCCCAACAAACCAATTTGAAAATATTTTTAAGAAGCTGCTTGCTCTGACCTTTATAAAAGAAAATCTTTTTGTTTCTGCCTCTTGCTTTAGACACTGAGATTTTTCTAAATGTCAAAGGCCTTCTTGTCCACACGCGGCTGTCAGCAGAGGAGAGCCAAAACACAGAGAGGGCCCGGAGCCTCTTTGAGGATCTGGTGTGCAGTGAAGGGAACAGTCTCAAAAGAGAAGCTGATAAATCAGCACGCTCACGTGCACCCAATGGGCCACTCAACAA